GGTTCGAACCCTCTTCCAGGTCCAGCCCTCTTGCAGGCATACCCTCTTCCGGGCCCCTCTTCCGGGTTTTGATATTTTTTCTATTATACTGAGCAAGACCGGTGTAGTAACCAGCGTGCCAGGTCCGGGCCTGTGTCTCAGTTGGCTTAGCCAAGTGGATTCGATCCACCCAGGAAGCCCTCCTAGGATAGGTACGACCTATCAATCCTGCCGCTACCAAATAGAGTATTGAACATCATCGATTTGCTTGATAATAAAGTAGGCCTTGCCTAGTATTACAATCATTTGTAGAACTTGCGAAGATGATGGGAATTCCAAGTTCTTTCTACCGGCACCCCTTCAAGAGTTTCTAACCGGTATGTCCCTGGGCGAACGATGGCTCTAACCCTATATGGGCCTTCCCAGTTTTTTGCTAGCTTTCCTCCGTCGCCGGGTCTACTTGCTTCTCTTCTTCGTAGGACTTCATCCCCAACTTGGAAGTACCGCGGCCCAACCTTGTTATCATGGTACTTCTTCACCACTTGTTGGTATGTGGTCATTTTGACTTCTGCGGCCATTCTCCGTTCTTCGACCAAGTTGAGTTCGGCCAGGTGATCTTCCTCATTCTCCTGAGGTTGATAATTTGTCTCCCGAAACGTGGGGAACTCAGCTTCGATGGGCAGCCTTGCTTCACACCCATAGGTTAGGGAGAATGGAGTCTCCCCGTGAGCCCTCCTGGGTGTTACTCGGAATGCCCATACGATGTGTGGGAGCTCTTCCAGCCATTTGTTTCCTGCTTCTCCCAGCCGTTTCTTTAGACCATCCACAATCGTTCGGTTGGCGTTTTCGACTTGGCCATTCCCTTGGGGGTACACTACCGAGGAACGATTGTGCTTGATCCCGAAGCCCTCCAAGTATTCAGTGAATCTTGGATTTCGGAATTGTGGCCCGTTGTCGGTGATGAGGTTTATGGGCGCTCCAAACCTCGTGATGATGTTCTTCCAAATGAATTTCTTGCATTGTTGCGTGGTAATGCTGGCCAATGCTTCGGCCTCAATCCACTTGGTGAAGTAATCAATGGCTACGATTACAAACTTCTTCCCTCCCTGGGTGACTGGGAAGGCTCCAATGATATCAACCCCGAATCTAGCGAATGGGATGACATTCGATACGGGTGGTAGTAGGTCGCTGGTCTACCGGGGTACTTGTAGAACACTTGACATGTTCTACATTTCTGTACATACCTCTCACAATCCTGAACAATTGTTGGCCAGTAATACCCCAACAAGATAATGCGCTGGGAAAGCATACGGGACATTTGATGCGCCGCGCATACGCCTTCGTGGACTTCCGCTATGACTCGTTCAGCCTCCCGGTTGGTTAGACATCTCAGGAGTGGCCCCCCAAATGCCCTTTTATACAGCTTTCCATCAAGAATCTGGAATCGGGGTGCCCTGAGCTTCACTTTTCTTGCCCGGTCATCTTGTTCCGGCAAGCTCCCATCCATCAAATATTCCATCAGATCACTCATCCAATGGTCGTCCGCCCCGACCAAGTTTGACCGGTCAAACTGGCTTCCGGCAGTTATAGCGGCGACTTCCAATTTCTCGATGCTTGCACGGTCAAGGATCTCTACCCGGGCAAGTTTCGAAACATGCTCGGGAGCATA